AAAAAAAATTAATTTAATTCATCTTGTATAGGGTGTAGGAAGTGGAAAAACGCAATTCTGAGCCGTCCATCTGCCTATACGGAACCCAAATTTCCTCAGGAATCGAATGGAATAGGTTTTAAGGCTCTATCTCTCATAGTTTCCGAGATAATCGCGAAAAACGAAAATGCCAAAAAAAATTAATTTAATTCATCTTGTATAGGGTGTAGGAAGTGGAAAAACGCAATTCTGAGCCGTCCATCTGCCTATACGGAACCCAAATTTCCTCAGGAATCGAATGGAATAGGTTTTAAGGCTCTATCTCTCATAGTTTCCGAGATAATCGCGAAAAACGAAAATGCCAAAAAAAATTAATTTAATTCATCTTGTATAGGGTGTAGGAAGTGGAAAAACGCAATTCTGAGCCGTCCATCTGCCTATACGGAACCCAAATTTCCTCAGGAATCGAATGGAATAGGTTTTAAGGCTCTATCTCTCATAGTTTCCGAGATAATCGCGAAAAACGAAAATGCCAAAAAAAATTAATTTAATTCATCTTGTATAGGGTGTAGGAAGTGGAAAAACGCAATTCTGAGCCGTCCATCTGCCTATACGGAACCCAAATTTCCTCAGGAATCGAATGGAATAGGTTTTAAGGCTCTATCTCTCATAGTTTCCGAGATAATCGCGAAAAACGAAAATGCCAAAAAAAATTAATTTAATTCATCTTGTATAGGGTGTAGGAAGTGGAAAAACGCAATTCTGAGCCGTCCATCTGCCTATACGGAACCCAAATTTCCTCAGGAATCGAATGGAATAGGTTTTAAGGCTCTATCTCTCATAGTTTCCGAGATAATCGCGAAAAACGAAAATGCCAAAAAAAATTAATTTAATTCATCTTGTATAGGGTGTAGGAAGTGGAAAAACGCAATTCTGAGCCGTCCATCTGCCTATACGGAACCCAAATTTCCTCAGGAATCGAATGGAATAGGTTTTAAGGCTCTATCTCTCATAGTTTCCGAGATAATCGCGAAAAACGAAAATGCCAAAAAAAATTAATTTAATTCATCTTGTATAGGGTGTAGGAAGTGGAAAAACGCAATTCTGAGCCGTCCATCTGCCTATACGGAACCCAAATTTCCTCAGGAATCGAATGGAATAGGTTTTAAGGCTCTATCTCTCATAGTTTCCGAGATAATCGCGAAAAACGAAAATGCCAAAAAAAATTAATTTAATTCATCTTGTATAGGGTGTAGGAAGTGGAAAAACGCAATTCTGAGCCGTCCATCTGCCTATACGGAACCCAAATTTCCTCAGGAATCGAATGGAATAGGTTTTAAGGCTCTATCTCTCATAGTTTCCGAGATAATCGCGAAAAACGAAAATGCCAAAAAAAATTAATTTAATTCATCTTGTATAGGGTGTAGGAAGTGGAAAAACGCAATTCTGAGCCGTCCATCTGCCTATACGGAACCCAAATTTCCTCAGGAATCGAATGGAATAGGTTTTAAGGCTCTATCTCTCATAGTTTCCGAGATAATCGCGAAAAACGAAAATGCCAAAAAAAATTAATTTAATTCATCTTGTATAGGGTGTAGGAAGTGGAAAAACGCAATTCTGAGCCGTCCATCTGCCTATACGGAACCCAAATTTCCTCAGGAATCGAATGGAATAGGTTTTAAGGCTCTATCTCTCATAGTTTCCGAGATAATCGCGAAAAACGAAAATGCCAAAAAAAATTAATTTAATTCATCTTGTATAGGGTGTAGGAAGTGGAAAAACGCAATTCTGAGCCGTCCATCTGCCTATACGGAACCCAAATTTCCTCAGGAATCGAATGGAATAGGTTTTAAGGCTCTATCTCTCATAGTTTCCGAGATAATCGCGAAAAACGAAAATGCCAAAAAAAATTAATTTAATTCATCTTGTATAGGGTGTAGGAAGTGGAAAAACGCAATTCTGAGCCGTCCATCTGCCTATACGGAACCCAAATTTCCTCAGGAATCGAATGGAATAGGTTTTAAGGCTCTATCTCTCATAGTTTCCGAGATAATCGCGAAAAACGAAAATGCCAAAAAAAATTAATTTAATTCATCTTGTATAGGGTGTAGGAAGTGGAAAAACGCAATTCTGAGCCGTCCATCTGCCTATACGGAACCCAAATTTCCTCAGGAATCGAATGGAATAGGTTTTAAGGCTCTATCTCTCATAGTTTCCGAGATAATCGCGAAAAACGAAAATGCCAAAAAAAATTAATTTAATTCATCTTGTATAGGGTGTAGGAAGTGGAAAAACGCAATTCTGAGCCGTCCATCTGCCTATACGGAACCCAAATTTCCTCAGGAATCGAATGGAATAGGTTTTAAGGCTCTATCTCTCATAGTTTCCGAGATAATCGCGAAAAACGAAAATGCCAAAAAAAATTAATTTAATTCATCTTGTATAGGGTGTAGGAAGTGGAAAAACGCAATTCTGAGCCGTCCATCTGCCTATACGGAACCCAAATTTCCTCAGGAATCGAATGGAATAGGTTTTAAGGCTCTATCTCTCATAGTTTCCGAGATAATCGCGAAAAACGAAAATGCCAAAAAAAATTAATTTAATTCATCTTGTATAGGGTGTAGGAAGTGGAAAAACGCAATTCTGAGCCGTCCATCTGCCTATACGGAACCCAAATTTCCTCAGGAATCGAATGGAATAGGTTTTAAGGCTCTATCTCTCATAGTTTCCGAGATAATCGCGAAAAACGAAAGTGCCAAAAAAATTAATTTAATTCATCTTGTATAAGGCCTAGGAAGTGGAAAAACGCAATCCTCAATAATTCAAAAACGGCAGAGTGGAATTTTCCAATTCCTCTTTCATTTCAAAAAAAAATTTTCATCGTAAAAAATAAGGTCAGATCCATCCAACTCGTTTCATCCAGTTCCCTATATTGACGATTAAAAACATTCCATTTTTCCCATCGATTCAACCAATTTAATGAATTTTATCAATTCTACCGATCTATTAAATATCATCTTCAAAAAAATTAACAATGCATAACCTCCGTCAATAAAAAAATCCCGTTATAAATTCCACTTGCACTTTTAACCCAATTTATTCCTGAAAGTGTCGTCTGAAAAGACTATTCAATAGAGAAATGCAAGAAGCTTGAAAAGTCAGTTTATGATTGAAAAAATGTTGAAAAAAACACTGGGTCACAACAAGTGGGTCGTGCACCCTCGGCCTGGTGACCTCAGGGGCAATTACCACAGCGTTATGTGAGTGCGTGAGGTACAGAATGATGTACCCTTGGGTGGGCCGAGAGAGACAGAGGGACTCCGCGTGATGGGGAGGCTGTTACTTTAGCCTACACGCGTTGCTTTGACCTCTATTGATCTATATATCCTGACAGTACTGGCATTTACGTGTGCAATGCCGGCAGATACTCTGCCCTCTACTCCTCCCAGATGGGTATAATGTACTACCTCGTGTTCATCCCTCAGCCGCCCCTAGTTCTATTTACTTTCCCTTCATCCCGGTCGGGTGTAGCCTCCTGGAGGCATCTATTATTTATTTAGAGTCCTCCCTCTTCGGCGTAACGAACATCCGCTCGTAACGGGTATCCTCTGAAGGCACTACGTGCATGTGAACATTGTAAAATATGTTGAAACATCAGATAATGGGGTGAGTGGGGAATAATGGGGTCAGCGTTTCCGGGAATTATTTTTTTTACGGGGGAAGATGTTGGTCATTTTTTAGCCGGGGAATTTGCGGGGGACTAGAGGTTGGGAGAACTTTGGGATTGATGGATCTTCCTAGAGATGAGTTGACAATTCCGTGTGCTCAGTAATTATTTAATCTCATTAATTTTTTTGAGAGGAGAAATTAACGGGAAGTGTTCAAAAAATGACGATTTTATGTGGGAATTGTTTTGAATGTTATACTGTCAGAGAAAAATTAAAATTTCACTCAACATTTAATGGAATTTCAGTGGAATTGTAACGCTGTAAAATTTTCCATAAAGTGCAGCTGAAATTTCAGCGAAAAATTTGTAAAATTGTATTCTGAAAATTTAACTGGCAATTCACGCCAGTTGAAATGACTATCAAATCATCCATATCGATGTATTTCCTGAGAGTGGCAATTTCTCTTGAGAAATCAAACTATTTTTCACATTGAAACAAGAGGAATTTAATTTTTGATCAGGTGAATTTTTTGAAACTCCGTGTGACGAAGGGAAAATGTGCAGCAAATGCAGCGAGTGTTGTCAAGGCTCTAGGCACAGCGTAGACACCAGCCCCACTCCAGGCTCGGATTCGGAGCCCTCAGGTGCTTACCAAACATGTCGTAAAGAGATTTTTATAATTATTCACTCGCCCCTGAAAAAATTAACTCTTCTCCCAAGAAAATGACTCCTTGGCAAAAGTAATTTTTTTTCTCAGCGCGAAGGAATCATCTTCGAATTGAAATATCCTTCCCCCCATTGAGCATAACATATATTTGATTGAAGTATATTTTATACTCAATTCAGGTTATTTTTTTCCGTAATTGATTATCATATCGCAGTAATGTTCACCCTGCGGTTGGATATTTATTCATTTTTATGGGGACGATGCCTCTAATGGAACCTACAATTCATTTTCATAAATTAATTCACCATATTCCTCTGTTAGAAATAATTTGTTCTTTTTAGGAATTTTGAGAATTATGTTGTTCTATAACTATTAACATTTTTAGATTAGACACTTTGATTGGAAAAGTCAAATTTTTTTAAATTTTTCCGATCAGTTAATCAATGGCAATTCAAGAAAAACGACGCGGTACTTCCCTCATATGGTGACCAACTAGGGTTAAACGCGCGTGAGTAGCGTGTGGGCTCCTCTGTGCGACCGGAATGCTCTTCTTCATTTTTCTCTCAGTACATATAAGAATGGGGTAAAACGGACCAGGCGGAGTTGTCTAGATAACTCAACATTCAATCCCCGTCGAATGTCTGAATTGATTTATTTAGTTAGTTTTTTTTTGTTTTTTCGTTGCAGAAGAAGAGTGGAACCCGGGTGGTAAAGGGCGCCAGTCCGATGACACCGGTGAGTTGGTACTGTTAAACAAGAATTTGAAAAAAAAAAAAAACGAGAGAGATAAACGAAACAGAAAGATTGGGAATTTGAAAAAAAGGAAATGCAGACAAAAAATGTGTGGAAATGTGACGATCATTGTAAATGTTCCCCTTTAATGGATTTCTTTTTTTCATTTTCTCGACATCAACTAGAGTTTGTTATGAAATTTTCTCGAGTTTGTTATGAAGTTTTGCATGAACCATAGTATACTGCGTAGCCATGCGTTGGTTTACCTCCTACTGACATTCAGTAAATTGCGCCCCTCGCTGCAGCCAAGTTACGAGCAAGTTCTTGAAAATTGTTCCTCGTAAGGATCGCCATGACTTTGACAACCCACTGAGAGGACTGGGACCTAGGTTTTCCAGGCAAACTCGTCTTCTAATAGTTTTCAAAAGAGAAATTTTTGTTTCAATATCGTATCCTTGAGCGAAAGATTTCGCGGTTGAATTGGTGATTTTCTTTTCTTGTAAATCGGGAAGAGCACATCAAGGCTCGTTGTCTTCGGAATAAAGTCGTCCAGCTTTATTCCACTAGTATCGGGAATCAATTTGAGGATTTATTTTTTCAATTCAAAGTTCTATAGACATTGAAGATGTTTTGAATCAAATGCTCATGCGTTTGAATTAATGTCTCGATAGTTATGGCCAATTCAAAGGCGCGGACATTTGAAACAACATCAGATGGTCAAAGAATAGAAGTCCAGACCATTCTAGTACCAATTTTCCACCCGAGTACAACTCAGATGGGATTCATTTCATTCTAAAGGTCGGAAGAACCTTGAAAATTATGCAGAAATGATGAAATTTCACTCGGTCAATCTCAAATTGTTGACTAATTAATGAATGCGGTCCATCCCTCTCCGACTGAGACTATCGAGGGATTTTCCTCTTTGAATCAAAGGTGAAAGGGCTTATATTTCAAACGCGGATCGACTTCCAGTGACTGCTTATTCCATTATCGCTGCATTATATAATTTGCTAACCCACAATACAAATTTCCCCCATTCGATCAACAATTACACAACCACAGAACTCTCGTGTTCAACAACGAGTATTTCGGAGTGGCATTCAGCGTTTGATGCACTGAATTCAATACAGATGTCTCGTTCAGAAAAGCGATTCAGCCCAAGGCCCTTTGGATGTTCGATGCGATCCTTTACGACCGAGCCAGTTTATACCGGCTTAAACTCGATCCCATCTGTATTTTATTCCCATGCTGCCTGCCCTTTTACCCCAGTGTGAATTTAACTTCAACAAAATCTATGTGGACTTTGCTGGGTTTCCGCAGGATTAAATTGCACCGTATCAAGTGTTGCTTGCACGGAATTGATACACCTTCCCCCTAACCCAACACTTTCCATTCTTCCACACGGAGAGAAAAATTGGAGAACAAATATGTAAAAATTCACGATCTTGATAGGTGCAATAATTATATATTTTTTTGTTTAACCAGTTTTTTTTTAATGAAAAAAATTACACTGCAAAAAGGCCTAAATATCACATTTTGGCTCCGGGTGAAAAAAAAATTTTTTTTATTTCTGCATTTCTGGGGCATCTGAGGGCTTCAGTGGCATTAGGCGGGCCAGAAAATACAGAATCAACGTTCACCCGGCGGAAAAATTCGATTTTGGCGAAGATCGACTTTCCCCCCGAAAAAAACCTAAATATGGCACTTTGGCTTCGGGTGAAAAAAAAATTTTTGTATTCCTGCATTTCTGGGGCAAGTGAGGGTTTCAGTGGCATTAGGCGGGCCAAAAAATACAGAATCAACGTTCACCCGGTGGAAAAATTCGATTTTGGCGAAAATCGACTTTCCCCCCGAAAAAAAACCTAAATATGGCACTTTGGCTCTGGGTGAAAAAATTTTTTTTTTTTTATTTCTGCATTTCTGGGGCATGTGAGGGTTTCAGTGGCATTAGGCGGGCCAAAAAATACAGAATCAACGTTCACCCGGTGGAAAAATTCGATTTTGGCGAAAATCGACTTTCCCCCCGAAAAAAAACCTAAATATGGCACTTTGGCTCTGGGTGAAAAAAAAATTTTTTTTATTTCTGCATTTCTGGGGCATGTGAGGGTTTCAGTGGCATTAGGCGGGCCGAAAAATACAGAATCAACGTTCACCCGGTGGAAAAATTCGATTTTGGCGAAAATCGACTTTGCCCCCAAAAAAAACCTAAATACGGCACTTCGGCTTCGGGTGAAAAAAAAAATTTTTTTATTCCTGCATTTCTGGGGCAAGTGAGGGGCGCAGTGACATTAGGCGGGCCAAAAAATACAGAATCGACGTTCACTTGGCGAAAAAATTCGATTTTGGCGAAAATCGACTTTTCCCCCGAAAAAAGCCTAAATATGACACTTCGGCTTCGGGTGAAAAAAAAATTTTTTTACTTCTGCATTTCTGGGGCATGTGAGGGTTTCAGTGGCATTAGGCGGGCCAAAAAATACCGAATCAACGTTCGCCCGGTGGAAAAATTCGATTTTGGCGAAAATCGACTTTCCCCCCGAAAAAAGCCTAAAGCCTAAATATCACACTCTGGCCCCAGGTGGAAAATTTTTTTTATTTATGCATTTCTGGGGCCTCCGAGTATTTTAGCCAAACAAAAATCTTACTTGAAAAAAAGTCACCAATTTGAACGAAGCACCCTTAAGACCTCTGAAATCTCAAAATACGGTATTATCTTTCGAGGGCACATTACCTCACCACTCGCAGTCGATAATGCAGTGGATCACCCGAGTTTTCATCCTCCTGAGCCCCCGCAGGATGGCGCCTCCTTGGTGGCAGGTAGTGACGCCCGTCGTGGAGCCATCGAACTAAAACGAATCTTTTAAATGATCTCTCGCCACACCCTGCTATCGCGCGCCCGCAGGGAGAGGTACACGAGGGTGGTCTGCAGTCGTCTGTCGCCTCTTCACTTGTTGTTAGTTATCAGGGTGCCGTGGCAAAGCGACCCCGCGAGGTACCCCTCACCCGAAAGCTAAAAAAAATCTAAACTCCCTGGAAAACCCCAGCACTCGGCCGTCTCCCGTCGAAATAAAAATTATTAAAAAAAAAGGACGAAGGGTCGTTGTCCCTCGCTCGATTAAAACACCTTTCCAAACACTCGCGCGTAGAGCTTCTCTCATTGACACGTTGCGACACTCGACGGACGGATTGTACACTAATATTGATTATAAAACCCGAGTTTTGTGTTTTTTTGGTCTGTTGAGCTTTTGGGATATCATCACTCTTTTTCCTATTTTCAGTTTGTTATGCAGCCTGCGGCAGTATTCGCGCGATTCCCCGCTAACGTTTATTGTGGTGTGAATTTGGATTGCAGTTAACTATTATTTCCGTGAATTTTAATTGATTCGGACACATTGAACGGGCTTTTATAGGTCTTCAATCAATTCGATTGTCTCTCATGCCTGGGGTGACTTACGATTTGATGCTTAGATCGGTGGATTTATAGTAAAGCCGTGGGAAATGTAAGTAAAATATTCAAAGCTTCATTTTTCAGGTCATGTCTGCATAATTTTCGTGAATCATTCGGTTTTTTTTTCGATAAATTGTCAAATAAACGGCCAGGGGAAATTAATTCTATTAATTCTATCGATAAATTCAGTTTCTTTTGGATCAGTGTGATAAAAATATAAATGGAAGAGAGAGTTAATCGAATTATCATTCCCTGCAGAAAATTAATTTTCCATATTTCGTGATGAAAAAGGAAATTGTGAAGTGTTTTAATGTTTGAAGCGATTTCACATCGAAATGAACTTCGGCGGCGGATATTCGGACATATTCCTGAAATTATTTGACATTTGCATTGATGTCTACCCAGACACACGAAAACCAGTGCCCGGTGTGCACAGATCTCCCGAGATTGGTATTTACCTTTTCAACGTTCTAGTGGAAAAGGGATTGTAACCCCAACGTCTAGTCAGACGGCAGACTCCACTCCTCCTCCACTCCTCAGACATCCGCACACTTTTCCTCCTGCGACCAATGAACTCTGGTCCTTCACATCCACTCGTATACGTCACCCTCGAAAGCTCACTTGATTATCCTCGTATAACGGAATTATTTCTCATTTATTCATTTTTTTTTCTCGCATTTCCGTTTTTGTGGGGAGAAATATTTGTCGTGAAAAATTGTCTGTATGTAATTGAAAGAGGAAAATTCAATTGATTCTTTTTTTATTTTCGTAGAAAATGTTGACTGAAATTCGTGATCATTTCGTGAGAATAGCAATGAAAAGTGTAAATTTTAGTGTAATTATTCTATGAAAATCGATAGAAATCAGGAAAATTCGATGAATATTTTTTAATTTTCGAAAGCTCACTTGATTGTTCTCGTACAACGGAACGATTTCTGGTTTATTCGTTTTTGTCTCGCATTTTCCTTTTTGTGCAGAGAATAATTTATTAAATTGTTTTTTAATTATTTGAAGTATTTGGCTAAAATTTGCGTCAGTTCCACTGAAATTTCAAGAAAATTTCGTCATTGAAAATTGACAATTTCATGTAAAAATGAATGAAAAAGTTAAATTTCAGTTCAATTCAATAACAAATTGACAGATTGTTATTCGCTGTTGACATTTGAGCCTGATTTATCAAAAACCTCCCTTTACGTCGAATTGTTTCATTCTCCGAGAGTATCGCAAACGTTGTAGCGGCACTCGTCATGCATGGAGTGCCCTTGCACGTGTGCGAGGTTCAATTTAAGTGCGAATACAATCCATTTCCCTTCCATGTATCGGATTCAAGTACTTCCGTGTGGTGGCTTATGAATAGCTCCTGAAATTTTTAGCGCTGACGCGTGACGATCGAACCCAGTAAACTAATATCTCCGGCCCGGAAAGATTTATCCAGTAATCATTTCAAACTCTGTTGAATGTTCATTATTTTATTTATTCACTGGTCATTACTTCCTCCTGAGGGATATCCCCCCACTAGGGCGAGGGGAGGGGGGTGGAGAGATATATGATAGCACCATCGAAATAATTTTTTACTCCAAATTGGAGATTACTTATTCGCATCAGAGAAATTTCTCTAAGGTAAATGATCCTACGCTCGTGTAGCTGAACTGAACCCCTCGTTAGTCCAATATTTTCGTTGAAATGAGTGTAAAGATGCCATGTTTTAAATTATATATCAGAAAGTAAAAACTTCAAAATTAGAATTCACTTATATTAGTGATGATAATTACTGTTTTTTAATAAAAAATCAATAAAATACTTGATTTTTCAGTTTAATTATTCAGTGAAAATTCAGAAAAATCGGGAAAATTCGAGGAAAAATTGAAAGTTCATATCATTTTGTTTCTGAATATTCATGTTCCACTGAAAACTCATGAATTTCCGTGAATTCTACTTAAAACTTGAAATTTCACAACCATTTTTTCCCTCAATCCGATTCAATGTCACTCTCATGAGATTTACTATAACATCTTCCATGAAATTTCATTTAATTTCTAGCAGTGTCCAGTGTGGTCTGTATTAAACTGTAAAAGATACTCGCAAATCCCCAATTTCAGACACTAGTTTTTTCAACTGTAGACGTAATTATTCCTAATAGTGATCTACCCGCCTAATCATGTTAACCTGCACTGTCTCCTGATATTTACGTTGTAATTCCCCTGTCCAGAATCAAGTTAACTCTGACTTGTACGTCTGAGACATATTTGTCGTTATGCCTACCTCCCTGAATCAAGATACATCGTACAATTATAATGACAATCAGTCGCCTTTCTCCCCCTCTCTCCAGACATTCGTTAGTATGCGCACTCGCATTGCTACAGACGCCCAGCTTCAACGCCAATAAGCGGTAATATGTAGATTCGCATGTGCATGTGAATTTAAATTGTCGAACATACGTGTTCTCACATAAGATATGGTCGGCGAGTGATAATTGAGTTTCGATCGCTCGATTGAGAGAGTTTGGAGGGTGTATGTAGCTCGAGTGCGAGTTGGTTCCATGCACACTCATGTGGACAACTGTGAGAAATGCCATAACGACGACTCAAACCGGGTCAATTATCATTCCCGAAGCTCATCCGTCATCTCGGCTTGATTCTGGAGAGTATATAGTGCCCGATAACAGATACGGTTATTGAATTAATGGGAATCACTCGTCAATGCAATATCAATTGTTTTGTTTCAGCAATTTTCCAATTGTTTGTGGTATTTTTTATATTAATTTTCTTGTAAGGGATCCATTGAATTTCATGAAGGTTTTTCATGAATGTAGATTTTAGTAAGCTGTATTCATTGACACCAATTAAAATCCAGCTCTTCTTACCTATTAGAAAAAATTGATATTTTTTCAAGAATTGATTTTTCAACGATCGCTCAAAAAATTGTCGTCAAAGTGGAATTTTTGTCATGGCACAAAAAATTGATAACCATACCCCTTGATTCTATCAGAATATGATGGGGATCGCACAATTCGTTGTTGAGTTTGACATGAAAATAACGAAAAAATAGAATAAGAGAATAGTGAAATAGGAATTTAAAGCAGAGAAGCCATTCGGCAGCAAATTGCTAATTTATTAGCAACAATAGCCACACGCATTCATAAGTAACTGCAATTATCCACTCACGCATATGCAACAACTATTCAATGCATCATGTTCCTCGAAAAGCTGAGGATTCCGCAAATATTGAGATGCCCCGGAAAATTCTTCGCCACACATTCTTCCCATGACTCTTGCGTCTACGTTCATGCTCATACTCCTTCTAGGTCGTTAATTTCGCCCGTGTAGTTAACACAAAGGGTCGATGAACTCGTAGCCACACGATTCGTACTAATAAAGCTGAAAGATCCTTCGTTTGCTCTCCTCACACCCAATTATGTTGCAATGAAGCAGCGACATCGTGGATCAATCGAATTTCGTCTGTTCATTCTCATTTTCATCGCTCGTTTCCCCCTTTTGGACTGCACGAGTCGGGCGTCTGCAGTTGTAAACAAAGGCGTTTTTTCAGTGGGCGCGCACTAGGGAAGAGTAAAAAAATGTTATGAGCTATTTCCTAACCCGTTGACTATACCGCGACTATTTCCAGCTTACTCAGTAAGAATTATTTTTGGGCGGCGAATAACTCCTGCCAAATAGGCCGAGAGACTACACTGGCGGCAAAAAAAAATTTCTGAAGCAGATTTTGCGTTCGCGAAAAAATTCGCATGTTGCATTCGACGATGTGACGCATTTGGGTAAAAATAACAGTTTTTGTTCGAGATTCTTCTATTGATTTCGACGATATTCTTGGTGAAACTGAATGAATTTATAGATTCGTTCTAATTTAATCCTCTATTAGAGTGACATTAACGAATTTATTTGATTAAAATAAAGGATTGTTACGTTTTATTATTAATTTGTCTCCTTCGCCTTGTGAAGAAAGAAATTCAGAAGGCGAATCCGGGTCTGGATTATCTATTTTTTCGATAAATTTCATTTCCAATTTTTACAGTCTCCATTTGGATTGAGAAAACATGGATTTATATTGAAAACACTATTTACAGGTGAGTGGGGCAAAATAGACACTTGATTTTTTCCAAAGTTGATAACTCAGAAATGAATTTATCAGTTAAATTTTAATCTAGGCTAAACAATATTCCGCCTAATTGGACATTTAATGGGTCATTAATACTGAAAAAAATTTAAGTGGCCATTTAATCCCACTCCATAATCAGAATTCAGTTAAAAAAAATTCTCGATAACACGAAACGTTAATTTCAAACACGAATTCAATGTTTGCATTTCGAATCAAAACGAATTTATCCGTTAAATTCTAATCCAGGCTAAAAACAGTCAAGCTATCCCATCTGATAAAAAATTCAATGAGTCATTAATACTTGAAAAAAAAGTCAAAAGCGTTCATTTTACCCCGCTCCATAACCAGAATTTAATTAAAAAATTGTCTCCATGACACGAAACGTCAATTCCAAACACGAATTCAGTGTTTGCCTTTCGAATCAAAACGAATTTATCAGTTAAAGTCCGGTCCAGGCTAAAAACAGTCTAAGCTATTCTGTCTGATAAAAAATTCAATGAGTCATTAATACTTTTAAAAAAAAGTCAAAAGCGTTCATTTTGCCCGACTCCATAATCAGAATTTAATTAAAAAATTGTCTCCATGACACGAAACGTCAATTACAAACACGAATTCAGTGTTTGCCTGTCGAATCACGACTAACGAATGTGTTGATTGAATTTGCAGGTGGATCAGGCAGAGCGGAGGGTGAGGGGGGCTCGAACGATCTTCCCGGCGGGCGTAGAAGCGGCGTCATCGGAGTTTTGGGTAACGTTGGGGTAGCAAGGACAAGCGGTCCACTGGGGGGCGGCGGTGGCCGTTCGAGGGACGAGCCAAGACGGCACACCCTCAGCGGTGATCACGCGCCCTCCTTGCATCACCAGCAATTTAACACCCAACAGTTACATCCCCTTCATCCCCATCATCTACCACCACCACACGGGCAGTACGCTACACCACCCAGACACGGAACCATGGACCTGGAGGTAAATTCTCAATTGCAAAACGGAAAAAATCATCAATTACTTGTTCCAATTGAATACACTTTTTTTGTTGCTAAAACAATTCATTCTTTTGCCCAGTTTTTATGCAGTTAGTGATTATTCTCGTCTTTCGATAATTACTGCATTTTCTCTCTATATGATAAAAAAATAAGGGAAAAATTTAAGACAATTCAGGCGACGCAAAAATTCAGGCAACGCCTAAATGTGGGGGTCAGGGGGTGCCCAAGGTCGGGGGGGTTAGAAGGGAGGAGGGTGTCCCAGGGTCAAATGCGTCGGGGGGGAGCGAGCGAAGCGAGCGGGGGGGGGCGAAGCCCCCCGGGGTTGGCGAGCGAAGCGAGCAGTGGGCGAAGCCCCCTAGTTTAAAATAAAAATGGTGATAATATTTAGTAACTATTTTAATGCTCACCACACACAGAGGAATTGTTTGTTTAAATGAAATGAACTCTATTTGAATCAAGTAAATGGGTTTATTTGAACAACTGAATAGGTCACAATGAAGTTCTTTCATTTATTAATTGGAATATTAAGTTCAAATGAGAACCTGGAAGTAATAAAAGAATATTGTAGAATCGAACAGAAAAATTTCAGATGAATAGGTTTATATGATTTAAATTGCATGGTTTCTCTGATTTGTTTAAAAGAAAAACTCACTGCTTTGTGTTGTGAAATTGAATACCATGTGGAGGGTACCAATAATTCAGTGAAATAATAATTAAAAATCCTTCGCCGCTTGCACTTGGTATGTTGTCACATGAAAATTGTCCTAGGGGAGAGTCTGGTAAACGCGACTGGCCTCAGAATCTTTATAATAAGATCTGATTCACCCAATGTCATTTGGTCCGTTCTACCTCACTTCCCCCTATTTAAAATTGATTTTCATGCGGTCGATATTCGATCTACAATGATTCCTCGTTTACTGCGAACGCCCCCTCACATGCTCTTGAATTTCACAGAGCTTCACGCATCACACAATTTTTTGAAATTTAATATTGACTCTCTGTGTGTTTTTAACTTTTGTATTATGTGTGTTTCCGTAATTCATCGAAAATAATACGCAGATGGGAACCAAGTCTCGCCAGCGAAAGGTAATTCCACAATTTTTCCCCGTTTTTGCATGTTTTTGCTTGGAAAATTCGATGAATTTTTATTCTAATGCATGAAATTATAAGACGCAATAGGTGACTGATGAAATTGAAGCGAAAGTAGGAAAACACGAACGAAAAAGTTTCATAGAAAAACCTGGCGAATTCGCTGGAAAATTCTATTAGATTTCTATCGAACTTTCTATTAATTTTTTGCCTATTCTACTGGAAAATTCTGATTTTTTTTCTATAAAATAGTTTCTATAAGAAATTTTCCGTTAAAAAACGCGCGGTGAAGCTGTCAGATTCTTCAATAGAATCGGCAAAAATCTAGCAGAATTTATAGAAATCTAATAGAATTGTCTAGCGAACGTGCTAGGCTCATCGACATTTCATTTCATCACGCCCATTAGCATTTGATTAGCAAGAATACACGAAAACATTTCGGAAAATCCAGCGAATTTGATGGAAAATTCTGTTGAATTTCTATGAAATGTTTTCGTTTGCGCAAATCATGAAGAAAAAGTTGTTAATGGAAGATTGTTTATTGCAGTCTCCTCTTCCAAGAGGCTACCCGCCTCCATCAACGGCAATGCTCTTCGATGATGATCCGGGTATCATGTCGGAGGTGGAGACCTCCTCAACAGGATTCCGACGTGGTGGAAAACAGCGGAGTAGTCTCCCAGTGGTACGAACACCGAGCAAAACTTTGGAGCGACCACTAGGTAACTGGGAAATTATAACGATACTTTTGCATTCAACAAAACAAAAAAAGAGAACAAATTTTCAAAACTAAAACAATTAAAAAAATTTCATTGGAGTTTTCTATATGATAATTAATTCTTAAATATTCCAATGATCATTGATAATAACGAGAATTAACAATCAAGCCGCAATCTCGAGGAAATATTTTCCAAATTATTCATTCTTGTCAAATAAATGCGCACTTCAATCACTTCATAATCAAGAAAAAGTTTGTGACTACAATTTTTCTGACCCTAGGAATCTGTCTTTCAAGTCCGTTTATCGCTGACCTGATTCACTTCTTTAAGACAAATATTTATATTTGTGTTAAGACAAATATTGATATTTGTATTGTCAATAAACCAGACGGAGAAAAATCCTTGTAGGAAATTGTCACCAAGTTTTGGCTAATTTCCTCGAAGACCAATGCATTGGACAATTACTAAATTCCAAACATGATTTCCAATAAAAAATTCTCTCCGTGTATTCCCTTTGATAATTTCCACCCTGCATGTCTCAGTGACAGCAACAATCACCCCAATGAGCTAAAACTCCTGACAAAACAATGAATTTCTGTGGGCGACTCCCTAGGACTGGTGTTCCTGCAGTACAGGAAGGAGACGAAGAGGGCTCTATTGCCGAATGAAATAACGAGCATCGATACAGTTAAAGCACTCTTCGTCAGAAGCTTCCCGAAGCAGCTGACAATGGAGTACTTAGACAGCCCCGATGTCAAAGTTTACATTCACGACAGTAACAAGGACATGTTCTACGAGCTGGAAGACCATCGGTAAGATCAACTACCGAATTATTGCAGCTATTCATAGTTAACAACTCAATTCTGTTCCGTGATCGATTCATTAATAGTTCATAGACAGCCCATTCACGGAATTCCATTGCCTAGGAACTCTATTATTAACTATTATTAACTGAAAGATTCAGCGAGACAGCTCATAATTCGTCAACTATCAATGAAGGTTCCATTTTTCACAATTTTTACTTTCAACTGAAGCATTTGTTAACTAGTAATGAATATTCATTTGGCGACATTGAACTCTACTATTTCTCAATAGTTAAACCACTTCAACAATAGTATTTATCATCGACAAATGATCTTTGCTGAACGCTTGCGTGGATTTATTCTTCTTGAAATTCCACTCGTTAATAGTTAATGAATATTCAGTTGCGTGTGTTTAACTGCTCCAATAGTTGCCACACCTCATAGATATTAAATAGGACCTCCTATCAGTATATTTTTTGACGATCAACCTGAGAAATAACATCTCTTCCTCTTTAAATTTCCAAGATCCCACCTACGAGACATCAGGGATCGAAGTGTTCTCCGACTAATCGAGAAGAGTGATATTGTGGGAATGCCAGGGCCCCTCCAGGGGGTGCCAGTAGGCGGTCAGGGATTGCCACCCCACTGGGAAGACCAGAGTTACTTCAGTGAGCCTGAATTCGACAGTGAATTCCAACACCAGCACATCCACAAGAGCAAGGTAAGTCTCCAATTAAATACAAATACAAACGTTTATTGACTTCAATAATTTGTACAAGAGCTTACAGTATTAACATACGTCTAAATAAAACTTACAAGTAGTCATAAGCATTCTGTACACGCGAAAGTCTCAGCATCATAATCTGAGTGAAAAATACTGTCTGACCATAGAAGTTGTCTAATTTTGCTGAATTAGCAAGTTAGTCTTCTTATAAATAACGAATAGAAAAAATACCACGTAGAAGCCTTAAAAGATGGCCAGATGGCAAGTGCCCTGATTACTCAGGACACTCGAAAAAAATAACTGCAAAGAGAATCTCTCAATTGTTCGGTAAATTCCCGAATGCATCAATCCCCTGAAAAATGCGATAAAGTGTTAAAACGCTTTGCACATTGGAATTGCTGGTATCCAGAGTGCTCCAGAATAAACTTTCTTAGGTACACTCCTCCAGTCCATTACGAGTGCTTTCTCAAAGGGATCTGGTGTGCATCCATCGCAAACATCCATCACCATTTTAACTTCAGCCTCAGCTGGTTCGCGTTCTTCGTTTTTATTGGGCTGTTGTTGAGCTTGATTGCCGAAACTAGCCAGACCAGTGAAATAATCGTTATTGAGATTTTGAGATACGAGGTAACTGTCGTCCAGTAGAGAGCCATCAGAAAACTGCACCAATCCACGTTTTGTAAGGGTTTTAGCTGCAGTCGGCTGTCTCTCCTCCGTAGATTTCTCTTCATCACTAGTCTGTCTTTTGGCAATCGTCTTCTTGGATTCAAATTGCTCAACGCTTTTCGGTGTGTCTTCTTCCTTTGTGCTGTCACGCTTGAACAGATTCTTGTCTCGCCTGAACAAATCATACTGACTATTCAGAAAACCAAACTCATTCAGTGGTTGTGGAGTGGAAGAGGAAAAAGTTGGGTATCGCTTCCCGAAGAACTGTGAAATTCCATAAATAGGGGTGTAGGATGGCAATGGGGTGGGCAGAGAGAGAGGAAGCTTTACGTCGGGATTCTGGGGAGGGAAAGGCATTGGCACTGGTGGCGCTGGTACAGATGGATGACGAATTGTCACTCCATTCTGAATTATCTGGAGAGTCACTCCTGGATTTAGCTTCACCTGTAATTATAGAGAAGTTTAACGTGAAGATGAGATTTCCAAAGGACAGGTGAGAGAAAGAGAGGAAGACAAAGGGTTACCTGATGATTAATTTGCCCTCCAGTGAGAAAGGGATGCATTGGCAATGGCGGCCCTGTAACTGGCGCTTGAGTACTTGTAGACAAAGGTCTGTTATTGCTTGTGTCGTGCTCGTAGTGGTGGGCGTGATGATGCTTGTGGTCTTTGTGCGCTTTGCCAGCGGTCAGGGCAACGTTATATAACTGTACCATCGTCAATTCACCGAGCATACCGCCAGAACCTTATCAGATCGATGACGGGTATCAAAAGGATTTTGAAATTGAATGCATCCCCTTTTGTATGTTAAAGAGGGTGGCGCGAAAATAAATGAGAGATTGCAAATGAGTATTTCCTACCTTGTGGGGCATTTGGACCCTCGAGAAAACCACCGCCAAGCTGTCTCTGTTCTTGTCCAGATATTGCAATGCCACCTCCTTTGATGACGTGTCCCACGAGCTACAAAGAAAGGCGAGTGATGGTTATGCATTGCATCAATATTATGGTCTTCAACGGAATAATTGGCCCCGCGTTATTACTCACCCGATTGTTAAATCCACGACCAACTCGCTCGTCGTTGACCCAAATTTGCCATTCACCAGTGCGTCCATTCCAACTCTGGCACGAGTGATACCATTTGTTGAGGCGAAGGGGATAGTTCAGGCGGTAAAGAGTGTGTCCATCTATGTTCATCATGTAGTAGGAACTCCTCTGGGTGTTGGCTATCCAGGCGAAAATTCCGCGTGGCTGGTCCCCAACTGCAATTTGACATGATTGGATTTTAAGGAAATTCTATACATCAAACGACGCGATCTATAGGGATTGTGAATGAACGAGTTTGTGATTAATTTGTAGAGAATTATCGGAGATTGCGATCAAAGTGGTTCATTGAGCGAAATTAAATAAGTCGGCACAGTAGTTGGATCACTTTCTAAATCTCCGACATGTTTGATCGGACATGGGAATTTTAGGTGAAATCACTGGACTTTTGCAATTGAGTTGGTGATTATGAACGCTTTTGGGGAGAGGCGTGGGAGATTTCGTCGTAGTGTTTTGTGTCTGACATTAAATTATTCCTCGGCCCAAATTTATGCGTGAATGTCAATTCCTGTCTGGAAATAAGTTCCTGTGTAGGTCTAAATTCATGTTTATAAAAAATATTGTTTGAGCATAAATTCACTTTTGAACATGGCTTCCTTCCTGACCATAAATTCCTGTCTGGAAATAAGTTTCTGCCTGTTCTTCAATTAATGTCTGAAAATAATTACACGCTTGTAAAAATTATCCTGTCCGAACATGGATTCATGTTTAAGATTTTTTTTCTGGACGTGAATTTTTGTCTGACTATGAGTTCCTGCACAGACATGATTTCCTGTCTGGAAACAAGTTTCTGTCTGAACTGAAATTCCTGTCTGGATGTGATTTCATGTCTGACCATAAATTTCTGCTCGGGCATGATATCCACTTCGGGCAGTTGCTCTCTGAACCCGAATTCCTGACTGAACGTAATCTTACCTCCGATGAATTCCTGTCTAAACCTGAATTAATGTCTTACAAATGTTTTTCATGTGTTACACACAAACACAAACTACAATATAAATCATAATTATTCTAGTTTTTACCTGCATAGGAGAACAAAGGATGATCATTAGTATGATTCGTGAATTTCGTCCACATGCACAGAGTAAATTCCTTGAGGTCTGGCATTCCAAATTTATAGTGAATATACTGAAAAGAAAAATGAATTAATCAATTTTGTGCCACGTAGCGAAAACCGTTTTTATTATTCCCATTTTTTTTCCCGGAAAAAAACAGGCGAATACTCCAGGGAGACAGTGAAGTTCGACTGTAGAACACGAACTGTCATGTCACACGGAAGTGTAAACGTCACATTGCAACTTCCACCGTATTCTCATGTGCACTCCCAATACCAATCGCTCGTTATGTGTGGGTCGACGAACTGGTTATATTTTCACACAGTCAGTACAATCTCTTTCGCAAATGTCCTATTTGATGCCACACGGTTTGAAGGTTCAAAAATAGCAGTGCTCGCGGATTTTTTTTCGCCTTTTTTTTTGTTTCTGTTTTTTCATACTACCATTCATCACGCAATGTATCGCGCAATCTCTTTTATGGTGGACTGATCGGCGCATCTTTCCCCCTCTTTTTTGCGGATATATTTTTTTTCTTCGTAATGTTGCGCTGCACTGATTGAAGTCGTGTGACGAATTTTCACTTTACTTATTCAATACTACATGCTTTACATTCATAAATGTGAAATTGAGTTCTTTTTATGTTTTAATTGCTTCACTTTCCTTTCGTTTTCGCAAATCAGAGAAAGAACTGTTTCTTGGGAGATTTTACTTCGCAGGATTTGGTTGCGAGGATTTTAATGATGAGTGAGTATTTCCTAACGATCGCTCTGTAGAAGTTGGTTCTGGTTCATTACAGGGAATGACTTTATTAATCTTCATCAGCGTGTTTGTTTTTGATAGAAATATTCACTAATGGGAGAACTTTGAGATGAAAAATTTTGATTGTTACATTTGAGATTTAATTCACTCGGCGAAAGTTTCGAATCAGAATTTCATTCCCGTTCTAGATTCACTTTCTTCTGTTATATCTAGCCGGACTTATCTCTTTAATACGTCTCGTGATGACATAATGTATCGTGACAAGAACCCACTATCGACAAGGGAACTCACTCTCAGACTTCTTCCGTTTTCAATTTATTTTATTTTTTTCTTTATGCTTCAACGTGTGTGCAATGCTGCGTGTGAATGACCTCCCTCTCTCCGGCGCTTTGACATGAACTTGGAAAAGTGAAATTCCAGAGGAGTAACCATTCGTCACTTGATGGGAGGGGATAATACTTGTTATTTACTTCGATAACTGGGTATTAGGGATTATGTGTCAATTAGGTCATCATCAATGTTGTGGGCACAGAATTCTGGGAAGTGTTTATTACGTGGACGTGAATATTTCACGCTTTTTGGGTTGAGAGCGAGAAAATTATGGTTTTGACGGGAATTTTTTATCGAAACATTAATAGTGAGTCCATTGGTGGGAATTTTTGGCTGTTTTCGGGACACTTCTGGGAAATTACGTTTTAGTTCTTTGCAAATGCAAAATTTTATCGAAAAATCGGCGGAAACTGCGGATTTCAATTGAATTATTCCATAAAAATTTATAAGAATTACGAAAATTCAGATAAAACTTTTCTAAATTTTCAATTATTTGAAAATTTAACGGCTTTTGGTACTGAATACGAATGTTTTTATTAAAAATTCAAGTAAGTTGGGGAATCCTCGTTTTCCTACTGTTCAAAAATTTTTAATTTTACTGAATTTTCAGTGAAATCGCAAATTTTATGATTTTTTCTCCCTAAATCAAATTCTGTGTCACTCTCCTGAAGGTTACTACCCAACAGTGAATGAAATTTCAATATTTTCCTAACAGCGTACTATATTAAACACATTTTTTGATCAATTAAAAATTCAAAAATGCATTCACCAGAAAATTTCAGTTTCCGATTAATTATAATGTAATAATAGAATGGGGATTTGCAGTTTCCAGTGATTTCCAATAAATAGTGAATTTTCAATTACAAAATTCCTTGAAATTCCAGTGAAACTGTCACTTGATAAAAATTAAAAATAAATAATATCGGAAATTTCAGCCACAAATTTTGAACAGTGTGTGATATTTCCTCAGCCCAAGAAATTATGTTTGTGTATCCTGAAATATCAGCATTCTATCGTCTATCTAGAATCTTAATTATCTGGCGATTAACCGAGAAATAAAGGAAAACAAAAAACATAAACTGAGGAAATGAAAAGGGCTCAAGAAGGGAAAGTGCATCGTAATGCTGAGCAAACGTAACATGAATGCGAGATTTCACTAAATATAAGTGGCGGGCGGGCATAAAAGCATGCGCTCTCAGTACGAATCTCAGACTTATCCAATCACCGCACGTTGAATACTTCTTACAGAATGAAGGCCTTAAAAGGTTTTCACTTCACTTTCATTGTTGCATTCACAATCATACTCGCTATTAACGATGACTATCCGAGTTTATGGGTGAATCGGGGTCGAGATCATCATATTCAAGTTTACATCCTGATTCGCCAGTCAGGCGAATAAAATTGTGTAATTTGCGATGAAAAGAACAGTTGATTGAGGTAATTAGTCGCGTTCAATTGAGTTACGTCAATTCTACAGTGAAATCAACATTATCTTCATTCCTAGGCTGAGAGAAAAAAATATTTTCTTAAACAAGTGTTGGTTGAATCAAAACAAATAGGAAATGGCTATGAAATTTCAAGTTTTAAGTAGAATTTACGAAACTTCATAAGTTTTCACTGGAACATGAATATTCAGAAACAAAATGATAAATTTTCCATTTTCCCTGAATTTTCCTGATTTTTCAGAATTTTTACAGAATAATTGAACTGAAAAATCAAGTATTTTATTGCTTTCCAGATGATTTGAACAGAAAATCAGTGGAATCTTTGATTTTTCAATGACAAGATTTTCGGAAATTGCAGGGGAACTTGAATACTATAACAATTTCCGGATTTTGACACGGAAAATTCAAACGAAAATTTTTAACAGTGCACGATTACCTTTCTCGTCGAAAAATTGACCCCGATTTTCTCTCCGTCCACTACTTTAAAGGCAGTCCGTTCTGTCCACCCTGCTCTATATCTAATTTTTAAAAACACCTCACCCCTGGAAATTACCATTCAGATAGAACGTCCCATCCCACTCTTATCGTACGCGAATATAAATCAAAATTGTCATGCGCTTCGAATGAGATTTCCCGAGGCTTGCTCACGAAACAGGGAAACTGATATCCATGAACGTGAAGAGAGTTCAAACGAAGTCGTGTGTGGATTTTCCAATTCTCATTTTTATGCTATTGTTCAATGGGCGTTATGCCAATCGAAGTGGAATGAAAAATTGAAGGCGAGTGTCTATGCGCTGACGATATATTCTCTTCCGCTGTGAGTTCGACGAAAGTCACGACAATCCAGACATAAATTCGGGGGTCACTTTTAGTGCAATTTTCCGGTGATACGAAAATTAATCAGAAATCGCGCAAATCGACGTAGAGAGCTTCTAATTTTTTTCATTACGAGTGCGTAAAATTTCATTTTATTATTTCATTTTAAGTGATGAAAAAAAAATCTGAAATTCAAATCGATGCAAAAAATTGCTGAACGTTTCGACAAAAAAATCATGAGAGCGTGATGTTGGTTGTTGTTTTTTTTTATTTTAATAATTTGAAATGATCTTCCATTGCTATTCACATTTATACAGTGGAGTCTCCAAAAATTATGATTGTACAATCAAAAGAGCGTGGAAAAAAAGCTGATCATTTTCAAAGAGCGAATTACAAATTAATAATTTGGTGTAGAGGAGGGTGGGGTAAAATGGACACTTTAGACTTTTTTTAATTATTCATAACTCAGAAGCAAATTTATTAATTGAGCTCAGTTTAGGCTCGCCACGAAGGGAAAGAATTGTTCTTTGTATTGAAAGAAAAAAATTATTGAATTTTATCCAAATTTCATTCTCTTATTAACATTTTGAAAAAAGTCAAAAGTGTCCGTTTTACCCCAACCTCCGGCTGTCAGATCATTAGTTACCATGATGAATTATCCACTCACTATTTCCTCTCTGTCGGACTTATTTCTTAATCTTAATTGAAAACGCTCTTTGAAAATGTTAAATTTTTTTTCTACTTTTTTTTATTGTCAATCATAATTTTTGGGGACTCCTGCGTGACGTAAAATCCAATGGAAATTGTGATATATTTTACATTATTTTACATTATGAAAATGGAAAAACAATCGAGATAACATTCGAAAGATAATCCACCCGGGCCTTAATACAAGAAATTGCTCTTCAAGAGTGAATCTATGAATTTCTGGACGTCTTGATTTGATATCAGTAATTGGGATCTTTACTCACCTCGAAGTACAGCTGTTGACTCATGCTAATTTTGTACAAAGCACAACGATCCTGATCCTCTTGACTCAGCAACTGAGACGACACGGGAGCTTCGTCGAGACTGTAAGTCGATTGACCACCGGCAAAGACTACAGCCTCTTGTTGAAGAATACTCGTTGCCACGGGGGTGTGAATAATTGGTTTCCACGACTCAGATATTCCATGAGCCGCGGCTATCAGTGTGCACAGGAGGAGAAGCGTGGCTCTCTTCATTTTCTGAAAGAGAACTTCGCAATTTACTTGTGCGACACGATTCAGAGCTTTTGGTTTGAATTTTCGGCCCTTTTCGCGTAGATTTTCAGCAAATGACGGTTTCAGGACCATTTCAAGGAATTTGATAATTGAAAATTCACTATTTGATGGAGAAATTCATGTGAATTGTCAATTTTAGGTCAATTATTCCATGAAAATTGATAGAAATTAGGAAAATTCACGTCAATATATTTTTAAATTCTCAATTGACTAAAAATTAAATGCGATTTGGTATTAAATATTCATGTCTTTATTGACCATTCCAGTGAATTGAGAGATTAAAATTCGCAATTTCCTTATTTATTTTCATTCATTTTTATTATTAACGAAAACTGAAATCTACTCTACAATTTTCTCTTCTAATAAATTTGAATTTTTTAGTGAATTATCAATAAAGTTTGAAATTTCGCACTTTTTCCAACACTGTGATGAACAATCCCGAAATGTCGCACTTGAATTACACAAAACACTTCATTTGATTTTTTTCCATTCGTTTCACACGAATTCGTTTCAAAAGCTAGTTTACTGGCCATCGCCCGAGGGCCTCCCGCCTCTTTCAGCAATATTTTCATCAGAAACGAATAAACTCACTCCACGTAAGTTCATTAAAAACGTTTTAATTATCCAAAATGAATAATTAATTAATTCTGAATAAATTCTCCGTCGAAATCAGATGAACAATTAATTCGTTCCTAATTAATAAAGCCTTTATTTACATCAACAAAACAATTATTTCTATTTGAAAAACTGCCCATTCATTGCATTTATTGAATAAAAAAATTACTTAATAAATTCAAAAATTTATATAAAGGAATTGAATAAGAAAGCAAAAAAAATTTCGACTTTGAAAGTATTTATCTGATTAAAAAACAGTTAATTTAATTCAAATGAAAAATTTGTCGAGTGCAATTCACACCAAACTGAATATATTCTTGAATTCTCAATTAATTAAAGATTAAATGTTGATGAAAAAGTTTCAAAAATACAAAATGAATAACCAATTTATTCTGAATAAATTCTTTCTCTTAGCGACTTTCCCAACTATTTCATTCCTAACTAATAAAGTCTTTATTTAGATCACCAAAACCTTCATTACATAAAAATAATACTCATTAACTATTCTCATCTGTTGTGAAATAAGAAATCAAATGAAGAGAAATTTCAATTTCGAATTGAAGTATTTATTGAATTCAAATAAACAATTCCTCCGAGTGCGATTCACACCAAACATGCGAACTCCCTAAACAAATGTTCAAAACCATTGAATAAAAAAAACAAAATCATTTACCAAAACAAAGAAGCGAATGAACTGTTGAGAGAAATCTCCGCAGCGATAAAATTCTTATCATCGCAATCCGAATTTCCCCCAGAAGAATGATAAATGTCGCAATGCTATTTCCGTGAAGCAATTGAGGCATCAAATTCCCACAGCAGAATCTTCTTCCCGCGTGCAATGATCGCTGCATTCGCGATCGAAAGTAATTCTCGAGCGCTGTATTACGTGTACACGCCACGTGCCAGCGCGATTCCGCGTTTTGCGACTATTTTTCAATTCCTCACTCGTTTTTTCTCCTCAACTATGTAGTCAGTAGTCGTTGATTGCCAGAAGCTGACAAGATTGATTCAGAGACAGCACGTAATGCCAGTCCAGATTGGCCAATTAAGGCGAAGAGTACACTCGTACTGACCCTATCCTTTTCTAGAGACCTTACGTATTATCGATATTTATTACTGCACAATATCTATTACTCAACGAGCGCTCTTATCGCTCGATACAGGTGTCATATTGACTTTTTATCGTTGTGAATTTCGTAATCGGTAACAGATCGATATTTGTCCGGTCGTAAGTGATTTCCGAGGGAAATATTTACATAAAGACGGGAGCTAATGAGCCGGACTAGGTTACGGTCACAGTCTTGCTTAATCTGTATTATCGAATAGCTCGCATGTTGCGTAAGGCGTCAGCATCAAACGCAAGAGAGAAAAGTCGTAAGAGAGAGCGAGGAATGATGTGGGGTAGATGTTTGCCTGTCAAAACTGCGAAAATCGTTAATGGGGGGACTTGAGCGCACGGAAAGAGCTCCTGGCTTCCAGCGGCATGGGACTGCAATCAAGAAGCGTTTGGTACTGGAATCAAGACATCAAGAGCTCTGCACGTATGAAAAAATCGGATAGAAATTTTCTATACGGATTGCGTATGGAATTTTTGTAGGATTTTCGTATATGATATTCGGGTATTTGTGTACGGATATTTTTTATACAAATTATTTCTATATGATTTCTGTAGGTTTGATCCTACACGACCCACTGCCACATATATGGAATCATTTCGTATAGAGTTGCGACATTTCTCTACGTTTTTCTCTGGAGCGTTCAGACGTCTTTCGTATGAAAACTAAAATTTATGTAAAAATTTATGGATAGAATGATTCCTACACGGAGAGAAATATTCAATAAAAATTGCGTATCTTTTCCGTAATTCCGGAGCGAAATGTGGTTGTAGGAAATTTTACGGAACTGTCACGGAATTTTTCCGGAGCGTTTCGTAATTTTTTAATGAATCTCGTGTGAAAAATTACGATACCGTCACTTAAATTTTCTGAGTCGATTCCGTAATCGGTGAGTGAAGTGAGAGTTCCGTAATTTTTACTGAATATTTCTCTCCGTGTATAGAAAATATTCGTATAGGAATATGCAAATATGATATAAGGAAATCCTATAGAATTTCATGTGCTGTTCCACTGGGATTTCAAGGAATTTCGTCACTGAGAATTCAAAATTTCATGGAGAAATCATGTCTCATTTACATCATGTAAAATTCCTAAAATTTCAGTGGAACACGACAAAAATTTCCGGTATTTGGCACGGAAAATCTAGACGAAAAGCCCCTCATCACCGGAAAAATCTTCATTTTAAAAGAGCGTATTTCGGAAATAACACTAGAATTTTTTTCATCCAGCATTCATGCACCGAGAGAATTCCTTTATTCATAAATAAACTTTATTTGAATGAAATAAATCCTTTATTTGATTCCAACAAAGAATAATGAAACTGCATTCCCTACAATAGAAAATATTCTCATTGAAATAAATACCCGACTTAATTCATTTCCAACATAAACATCGTTGAAATAAACATAAAAATATCAAGCGACGAGTTTCATTCAATTAAAATCCCCCATTTCTCGTAAAATATCTTAAACATCCAAAACTGCGCATTTTTTACCAGCAAAAAGCGAGAGGAGAAAGCTGTCTTTGCAATAGGCAATGTGAATTAACGACGTCTTCAGTTTCAGAAAGTCCTTTGAATCTGCATCATTAATTATTGATACCGCTACTGATAGACACATCTCAATGTCGAAATTGAATGGCAACTTCCGTAACGGCAACGATAATCTAGCGCGAAGAACAATAGCCCAGAGTGTCTCGAGTGCATTCGAACATAATGCGAGCCTAACACGCCAAGTGAATATACGCACCGTTCTGTTTTCACTGGGCCATTGTTTTACAAAACCCGAGTGATTTATTTCAACTGCCACTGGATCCACCCAGAGCTAGACATTATACTGCCATACTGCTTGGCTAGGAAAGGACGACTGATAGAAATTCATAAGTGTTGTGGGACTCGTCATTTCACGAGGGGCAACTGGGAAAATGGATAGACGAATTTTTGTCCAATGTCGGTGTGAATAAAACTTGTACGCGATGCAAGAGGCTATTCCTCCGTGCTTACATTGGCGGTCAATCCCCGGTGTTGGGATAATTGGAGCATGAAACCGGTGTTGTTAGCAAAGTGTCGGGTGTAAGTACATATCGAGTTACTTTGGACTGTCGAGTTTTTCGATAAATGTTATTTTGTGGGAGTTCTTATTTTTGGAGTATAAAGGGAAAACAGCGATTGCCAAATGCACTGGTGAAATATTTTAGCTGGACATTTTTTGGAGATTTTTATCGAGTGATATCACGTATGAAAAAATTGTATGGACATTTTGTGTACGGATTGCGTGGAGAATTTCTGTAGGATTTTCGTGGGATTTTCGGATATTTCTACAGAGATGTTTGTTGGGCGAATTATTTCTATACGATTTCCATGGGTTTGATGAGAACATTTCGTATTGAGAACATTTCGTATGGAGTTGCGACACTTCTCTACGTTTTTCTCTGGAGCGATTAAACATCTTTCGTATGGAAACAAAAATTTATGCAAAAATTTGTGGATAGAAATAATTCGTATCGAAAATAGTCGAATAGAAATATACGAATATCATATAGGGAAATCCTATAGAATTTCTATACGCAATCCGTATAGAAATTCGCGAGACAAACCGGACACGTCAGCCAAAAACTCTCACCATGAATGAAATAAAATTTTCCCTCAAATTCAAAAAAATTTTAAAATGAAAACGTGATGAAATTTTCAATCTCAGAACTTACTTAAATTTTCAGTTTGACGCGAATATTCAGTATCAAATTGATCTCAATATTTACTCATGTAGAATATAAAACGATATTCACCCGCATTTTTAAAAAATATCTGCTAATTTTCACGATATTCCTAATTAAAATCTCCTGTCCCTACGAATTTTCCCATAATTTCTGAAATGTCAGGGGGAATACCACTTTTTAAAAATTCGCGAGACAAACCGGAAACGTCAGCCAAAAACTCTCAATATCAATGAAATAAAACATTCCCTCAATTTTAAAAAAATTCAAAAATGACAACTTGATGAAATTCTCAATCTCACAACTTACTTAAATTTTCAATTTGACGTGAATATTCAGTATCAAATTCACCCGCATTTTTAAAAAATATCTGCTAATTTTCACAATATACCTAATTAAAATCTCCTGTCCCTACGAATTTTCCCATAATTTCTGAAATGTTAGTGTGAATACCACTTCCTAAAAATTCGCGAGACAACCCGGAAACGTCGGCCAAAATTCTCAAACCAATGAAATAAAACATTCCCTCAAGTTAAAAAAAATGAAAACTTGATGAAATGCCCATTCTCACCAATAAAAAAGTGCTTCCAAAATTCACTAGAACCCACGGGTTTGTAGAACCTCACGGTCTCGAAACAGAAAGGTAACTGTTCTGTCGTGATGGTTACCATACACCTCATAAGCTCGCGGACCCTCTTACCTCTCCTACTTGACGCACCGCTCTGTCTCTTGCACTAGCTCATACACATGCCTGGAAGGAAAAAAATGATAAGTCTCCATGAAAACAGACACAGTAAAAATTGCCCGCAATGCGAGAGAAAGACAACACTCGCCCCCCCCCCCCTCCCCGCCCCNCCCCCCCCTCCCCGCCCCCTTAACGCATGTACGTACCACAAGATCTGGGATTTAACGACTCATTCGAAGAGCCCAACCAACTGCTCCCGACGAAAAAGTATCGAAGCAATTAATGTCCGTGGAAAATGGTTGAAAAGAGTATTTGATATTCAGCACATGGTGATTTTAGCTCGTTTCATCCAATTAATTTGTCCACTGCGGCATTACGGTAGAAGCGGATTAGATATCCCGTGGGAATTGGAATAGACATGGAATTACGTGCAAATGAACGTATGTCGTCATTTAGTAGGTGTACCACCTAACAAATCTACACCATAGATAGTTCGCGCAGCCAACACAATTTTCCTCGCTCGCATGTGTGTCCATTGTACCTCAATAATACCTCATAATGCAATCGGCTTTCATGCTTGTGGTTATGTGGATGTGAAAAACACGAGAAAATTCGAGTGTTCGCGGGGGATTTTCACGCTGGTCGCGAGGGAGTTGGAGTTTTTTACGCTGTCAACAATTTTCGGAATTTTTCCGGCCAAATTTCGGAAATTTTTATGCGGCTCAGGTTCCACTGAAATTTCAGGAAATGTTGTCATTGAAAAATCGAAGATTCCGGTGATTTTCTGTTTTAATGATCTGGAAATCAATAAAATGATTGATTTTTCAGTTCAATTATTCTGCGAAAATTCCGAAAAATCGGGAGAATTCAGAAAAAAATTTAAAAGTCATGTCATTTTATTTCTGAAAGTTCATGTTCCTCTGAAAATTCAATCAAGTTATGAAATTTCTATTTCACTCCTCACAAATTTTCAAATACATCAAAATAACGATTATTGCGATCGCCTTGACGATTCCTCTCAGATTCTCCGATGGTAACAGATTTTTCAATTTCAAGATAATAACGATAACGCATTCACCAATCGCTTAATACTCAGCTCACTACCCCCGTTTAATGCCAACTTGTTTGGATAACTGATCATCAGGTGAATTTGATATTTTCCTCCCACTGAAAGTAAAACGCGTTCCACTTAGAATTTCTCTATGAATAATCTCCCCGATAATGTGACAAAAATTCTCACCGACACGACAAACAAGTTTCCAAAAAGTAGAAGCAAGAAAAACACGCGATAGAATATGTCTATCGACAGCCGTATAAAAACTTTCACCTTCTCATAAACTCGAATATCCGAAACTGCCACGCCGGAAAGCATATATTCAGACTGAGTCTCCATCGGTAATAACTGGAGCAGAATCGCACGCTGACTGACTAAAAGCGAGTCAGAGAATGAAGTTCTGCAAAAAGCACTCTTTCTCTCCGTGTGACAGAGTAATTTTTTACCGAACGCGTTCGGTAAAATTTCACTTCCATTCGTCCCCGAGACCTTCAGATGGTTGCAAGAAAAAAAATCCTACCGGTGTGGGAAATTTTATTGTACAGGAGAATAATTTATCCCCCACAAACAGGTATTTTTCCATTGAATTACATTTCGCTCCATTACCCACACTACACTAAAATTTGCCGCGATTTTCTGGGTAATTTTAATCCAACTGTTCTCTCCGTGGAACAAATTCCCTTATTTTTTGTACACTCCATCCTCTTTCATTCAATGACTCAATAGCGAGGGAGAGTCATTGCACCATGCAATACTTGGGAAACCGAGTGACCTTGAGGTGGGAATAAAAAAAAATCCGCGCTGCTACTGTTACAGTTAGGACGAGGCCGGAACGCGAGTGAGCACTCTTCCTTTCCCCCTAATCATGCGGACATAAGTGATCCTCATAATTGTATCACTCGAAGTGGTTCGCCGGAATGACCTTGCTGGAGATACCATAAAAGTTGAATAACGCGTTTACTCAATACCGAATGGCATTAACACGCATCTGCGCGTTTTTTTTCCTCTTCCTCACTGCGTTTGAACGTCTAAAAATGGTTTTCTCTATTTGGAAATGCTTCAGATGGATTTACCGGAGGAGAACGCATGTACTGTCAAGCGAAAAAAAAACATTATAGCCAAGTTTAAGGCCTTTTATCGCGGTTGTTGGCATTTTTTCATGTGAATGAATAATTTTGTTAACGAAGGGAGAATAAGGGAGATGTCTATGTTTGTTTTTGCGAAATTTTCTTAAAAAGGATCAATCGAATTTCATGTATTTCTTCACGAATACAGAATTCAATAAGCTCTATTGACTGACCCCAATTAAAATTCAATTTTTCATACAGATTCGAAAGAATTGATATTTTTCAAAAATAGATTTTTCAACGATCACTCAAAAAATTGTCGTCAGAATGGAATCAGTCATGGCTCAAAAAATTGATAATAATCCCTTAAGAATTCATTTACAATAAATGAATAATTTATATCCTACAATCCAAACATTCTCATTAAAATAAATATATTCGACTATCAATTCCCACCGAAAATATTGTTGAAATGTATAAAAAAATTTCTAATAAAGACTGGAGGTGAATTGAGTGAATTGTGTCACCTGTGAAACGTAGAGGGCATTTCCCAATCGATCCGAGAGTTGAAAGCGTAGAGATTATCAAGCAGTAGATAACGTTGAAAATCCATTAATTTTTTTCTTCATAACCCAATAAAATGAGATAATTTTTGACAGTCAAAAATAGGTTACGACGAATGCACAGGTATTCTCAACGGACCTCAGTCTGTGGTCGAAAACTCGATTACATAATTGCGTGATAATAGCAGAATGAATTGATTGAAAGTAGAGAGAATAGGTTTAATTGTGTTCAATTCGTGATGAATGCGTGTATTATGCTATAGATACAATTTTTCAACTCGAAAACAACTTTTTTTCGCGATATTTTGCCGGAGATAAAGGAGGTGATCGCCCGAGGCGCTGAGACGTGGAATAGTCAACGTGTTGCCCAGCCAATTAGACGTAATTTCTAGCTTCATTTACGGCTGGTCGAGGGGAACATGAAAAATAGTTTGTAGAAAAAATTATGCTTATGTCGTTGATCAATACGAGTGCACTCGTTTTGCGGAGAGGTTGTGATATTGAACAATCCATTATTATAATTAGTGGGAATTCTTGGGGGAGACTAGTGGGATTCCATTGTGCTCTGGTATTGCTGTAGAGAATTGATAATAAGTGAATGAGTGAACGTATTCTTATGCCAAAAAAACGATGGCAAAGAACTCTTTTGCATTCATTCATTCTTTCACGCGCAAAAAAATTTCAGAGAAAAACCTACACGGAGAGAATATAAAATTGAAAATTACTATGTGAACACAGTAATTGAGGAACATGCCGGAAAAACTTTGAAATTTGATTTATTTTAACCGAACGCTTGGGGTGGGAAATTCATTTTTTACGATTTGACATGGGAATTTTTAAAAGTTTTAAAAACACTCCATTTTTTAAAACAATTCTTAGTAACGGACGGCGAGAAATTACTGAAATCGTATGAATTTTTACTATGTTCAACAGTAAAAAATTATTTTATATTTTTTTCGTATACGGATTTGATGGAAAATTCTATTGCATTTCTACGCTTTTTTAAAAAGAGAATTGGTATATATTATATGTCTTCTTACGTGTAAAAAACGATAGTAACCGATAGATTAGTCCTCGTACATAAATTCAATTGAATAAAACGTCACTCATCAACCCAGAATTTTATCAAAATCGACATAAATTGCTCAAGTTCCCGTTGGAGACAGGCTAATATCAGAATTAATTGTTGCAAAAATGGCGGCTATCCCCGAGGCAATGCCAACTTTTTTTTTACGAAATATTAATTCTACGAAAGTAGTTCGTGACGATGGAATGGTGTAATTGCCGTAATGGTCGCGTCCTGGGTATTGCTCGAATCGACTTGTGTCACGCGTTTATTTGAAAATCGATCAGCAACGTCGATTACCTTATCCAATAGCCCTCGTGGGTTTCGCGAAATATTGAAACCACCAGGAGCCACTTTTCGATTGCCGATGGAGGTGATATTGTCATGTCAATTGTTTCTGGTTTCGTTGGTGAAATTCATTCGATTGACAATTCTGCTAATAAATAAAACACAAGCCCAAAAATTTTCTACTGCCACCACCACAATTTTCCTCGTGAGTTATTCAAAAAATTGGCGAAACTGTATGGAAATTTCCCCAAAGTGTCTGCACCTCTTCTACATTTGTGTATTTTTCTCCGCGTGTTGCACATCCACAACTCATTGATGATGTAGTCTGCAGTCGAGACAGGTAAAAACGAATAAAAAGAAGGGAAATGTCGAAAGAACTTGTATGTATTAGCAACTTTCGCTGAGATGGTAGTACGTGTGGGGAAATGCTTTCAAAGTCGAGTTTTCACAGATACTTTCCTCGAGTGGATTCCGGGGCGATAGGTCTGATAACTGCGGCATTAGACTCTGCGATTGGCAGATAGTAGAATATCCTGAAAACGACAAGTTAACAGTCCTCATAGGCTGATGCACAACAAAAAGCTCTTTGAATTTTTGTAAGAGAAATTCTGAACTGAAGGACAGGTAGACAACTAATTAAGCTGATCAATTAAATTAAATTATAAAACTATCATTGCGATATTGCTGGCATTCAATCACCATTAAAACCAGTCGAGTCAGTCCCCGCGCACGACGTGATAATTTAATAAATTCCAATAATTCAGAAACGACGGGGGGAATTATATAATTTTTTCAACTAGATCTTGAAATTTACAGGTGCATTTTTCATCGCTTTAAATATATATAAATAATTCAGGATACCCTATGACTTTCACAGAAAAAATTTGTATTTTATGATCATAAATTGTCATACATGAAAAAAGTAACTGTCCACTGAATGGGACTTGCTCGTTGTGCATTTCACTTGCAAAATTATTCAAGAAGCAAATTCACTTTCGAGCAAACATTTAAAGATCAAATATAGTTCCGAAGTGCTTAACCATCCGGAAAGAGAGTTTTCAGGTATGAACAATCGTTTGTTAATGTTGAGTTGAGTATAAGTGGATCGACTGGTGGACTTCCTCTTCCGGAATGTAAGACGTCTCATTGTGGTGGGATAGTGATTGTAGCCAAAACAAAAAGCAATACGACCGATGAAAATCATGTGTCCCAATTTATCAGCTGTTAAATTTTCATATTACAATAAATGATTTGCTCATGTTGCAATGCTTATGCTCACGAGGTCTTAATCATAATTACAATTCAGTAGCGAAGTGGTAAAAACGTACAAGTCAATTTTGACTCTTGACCAGTTTTCAATAAATATCTCGGAATCTAAGGGAGATAGCCAAATTTTTGTTATAACCTTTTTTGTGGAGCCGATTGAGCGCTACAACAAATGTCATTACGAAAATTTCGCTATCTACCTTAGATTCGGAAATATTCCTGAAAAACTCAGCTGGGAGATGCGTCGACTTAAACCCCTTTACCACTTCGTTACTGAATTCAATCCGTTCTAGAACACACTTCACAGTGTGAATTTCTGGAAATCAATGTTTGTTAATACTCTGCTAAAAAAGCTGACTAATGTTTATACTTGTCCAATTGAATTTAACCAACAATATAGAATGAATTCAAATGTGTGAAAGTGTAAAACAAAATTGTAGTGAAAAACGTTGCGCATTAAAGACATTATTCAGTGATAACTTTTTACGTTAGAGTAACTTCAATGTAATCCTGAAATTGGCGCGATAAAAAATCCCATTAAACTAATATGCACGCTCCGATTTCATAACTCCTACTCACAGGGGACTGCATTCATTTGAATAATGTTGAACAGAATGATTATTCAATAGTTTGAAAAAAAGAAAGTTTTCGTCAAATCATTTCTTTCGCGATAATGACAAGAGTGCGTTAATCATGACCTGAGAAATTCCTTAAATAATTATCGAGGAACGCGGCATTAATAAACTAAAAAACTATTAAATTTTCCCAACGAAGGTGAAACATAACGTTTATTTTATCTCAATCTGTCAAACGGTACATTCACGCTAGTTTCACCTTGGACTTGACAAACTACCTTCACCCGTGCAGACCTTGCCTGGTGAATAGACTCTGTAGTGAGCGAAAGATGGAGATACAATAAGGAAGTTGTGGTCGGTTATTATGTCGGAATATAGAATATCTATATACATACAAATATGATTAATCTGGCCACACCATTCTCCGAGGAAAATGAAAGGATCAGTCTATTTCGTATCGGTTTTCGGGCGCAACGCCGAGTTGTACGTGTTTTATTTTGCCATCAAATCAATTATCTCCCCACCTTGCAGGATCAGAGAATTTTTGACAGCCTTAGGGGCAGATCCACGTCAAATCGACCACTGGAAGAAATCGATGTCAGCGATTTGGTCGCCGATTTTTTTCCAATATCGGTGAATTGAAAAAAACGTAAATAAATCGATTTCATGCTTTAAAAAATAAGGCTTCCGAAGGTTTAAACAATTTCAATTATTTATTTATAAACAACGAATGTTCAAAAAATTATAATTCTGTACAAAATGTCATTGGAATAACGCTGAATATTCATGATTTTTTAAAAATTTTCTCGCGCAATTTAATTGATAAATTTAATTGAACCCGGGGGTTCTTGAAATAAAAACCTTGAGGTTCGTAAATTGACATTCTTGTCTCCTCAAATTATCTTCATTAATCATGATGAGACATCGCAACTTAGACAGCCGCGCCCCAATTCCTTGACTTTTTCACCAATTTTTCCTCAGCTTTTTTCTCCCTGTCCAAAAACATTGAAATTATTTCTCTGAAATTCCTTCAAGCATTGAAAATTCCGCATTGACTATCAACATTTTTCAAGACAGCCCCTCCGAAAACTCTGACAGCAGTTCTCGTCCACGAAACAAGTAATTTGGATCCTCTAACGTAAGGGCTGCCACGTCCCTCCTCGCAGTGATAATAACCAGTTTCAGTCAGTCAATCATTCACCATAAATCGATTTCAGGCTTTAAAAAATAAGACTTCCGAAGGTTTAAACAATTTCAATTCTTTATTTATAAACAACGAATGTTCAAAAAGTTATAATTCTGTACAAAATCTCATTGGAATAACGCTGAATATTCATGATTTTTCTCATGCAATTTAACTGGTAATTTTAATTGAACTCTGGGGTTCTTGAAATAAAAACCTTGAGGTTCGTAAATTGACATTCTTGTCTCCTCAAATTATCTTCATTAATCATGATGAGACATCGCAACTTAGCCTCGCCCCAATTACTTGACTTTTTCACCAATTTTTTCTCTCTGTCCAAAAACATTGAAATTATTTCTCTGAAATTCCTTCAAGCATTGAAAATTCCGCATTGACTATCAACATTTTTCAAGACAGCCCCTCCAAAAACTCTGACAGCAGTTCTCGTCCACGAAACAAGTAATTTGGATCCTCTAACGTAAGGGCTGCCACGTCCCTCCTCGCAGTGATAATAACCAGTTTCAATCAGTCTCAGTCCCAAAGGTGTACGTGACGTCTGCCTCGTCGCCCTGATCCGGTAAGCCCCTGATTTTCGTGCATACATCGCCGAGGGGGGATAATTGGAAGGTATTGGACGCCGTCGTCCGGAACTGCCTCCCCCCCGGACATCCGACCCAGGAAATTTCGGAAAGTTGATGGGCGCCGTTAATGGCCCATCATCCAGATTATTTATCTCAATAAATCTCGACTTCACATCGAATGCCGACGCCAGCAGAAGGTTGAAGCCCAGAACCGCACCTTCTATCCCCTCCTCCAAGCCTTTGTCGAAGTCTGTAAACTCCTGACCGAGAACTACATCTCCACTCGCTGGTATCACATGTCCCGCCATCTAGAACACACGTTCATAACTGCAATAGAATAATTTTTTGCGATAGAAATTGTTGCTGCTCAAGAGGGAGACTTTATAATCTCATGGTAAAGCAGAGATCTTTTTCGGGTTATGCTTTTGAAAAATTCCAAACAATTTCGTGGTTCAATTCAAGTCAAGTCTCACTTTTATTCCACACAATTGTGAAATCCCATTGAATTTTCAATTAAATCTGACATTTAATGATTTTTGCTCCCTAAAATTGAATTTAATGTCACTCTCCACAATTAAGGGGCGCTAATTAAATTTCAATTGTTTTCTAACAGTGAACTTGTTCAAAATAGAACATTGCAATGTTCCATACATAATTCCATATGTTCAGTAATTGTTCACTGCTATTAATTTCTTCAAATAAACAACATTAAAGTCAAAATTTTAAGAAACAACAATGAGCTACGACTGGGGCATAAGCTTTTCTATTCTCAGATGTCAAAAATAGCCATTTAATCATGTAATTAATAATTTTGTCGTCAGCATTTCTTTCCGAATGAAAAATGCTGCATTTTTTGCTGCTGGCCTGAACATGGCCCAAGGAATTTTATTCAGCCTCGGGTGAATTATCTTTCATACGCGATCTTGATTGTTTTTTTTTATTTTCATAATCTGAAATGATCTCCAATTGCAATTCAGTTTTACACAGCCCTGAAGTCTCCAAAAATTATGATTGTACAATAAAAAAAAACGTTGAAAAAAAGCTGAACATTTTCAAAAAGCGTTTTGGAATAATATTTGGAAATAAACCCAACAGGGAGGAAATTGCAAATTAATAACTTAATGTATTTAATGGCTGTTAGCCCGTTAGTCACCATGATAAATTATCCATTCACTATTTCCTCTCTATCATAATTGTTAGGGACCCCTGCGTGATATGAAATCCAATGGAAATTGTGATATATTTTACATTACGAAGATGAAAAAACAATCGAGATAACGTTCGAAAGATAATCCACCCGGGCCTTGACTAGATTTATTTTCATCTCTATTACGTACGTCCGGAAAAGTATCGTCAACTTTAATTTTCCCATCTATCCAAAGCCCATATCGTCCCTCCCGATTATCCCAACTCTGGCAAATGTGGTACCACTGGTCCTCCAAAATAATCGCCGGCTCCGACAGTATTTCAATGTTATTAATCTCCAGATGAATGCTCCTACCGAACGGCGATATCCAGGCGCGCACTAGACGATCCGTCCCATTTTCTGCAGAATAATCAAACAATTAACGATATTACTTGAACAATGAGCTATTGTTTCGTCATTAAGGGCAATAGCGCTTTCCATTTCATTTTCCGTGATGAGAATTAAATTTTATTAGCATTGCACATCCACTTTCATTTGAGTCTTCATGAAAACGTTACATTCGCAATCTTCTCGCTGTTGACTTCAATTAATTTTATGACTGCTTTAATATGTTCTCCGGAAAACAATTCCCTTCGTGTCTTTTCGTTTTAGTGCGGTACACGTATTATGAAATTAAGGGGAGTGTGAACATTGTCGTTGCAAACTGGAGAATAATTCAAACTCTTTGGGTGTTCGGTTCTTCGGGGCTTCGAGCAGACATCCCCAACGCGGAGAAGTGTAGACCCCAATGTTCTATACATACTCCTAGACCCCATTGTCCTCCTAGACAATGTTGTCACAACTCTGCTTTTCAATTGAAAACAGACATCATCTTTAGAGACATTTGTCATGTTTAGAGGCCCTAGCACGCCATTTCTCGACCCGCTCTTTCATTTGAGCCCAAAAAAACATTCATATCTTGTCTGACATCGCTGCTACAAACTCGGGTCTACAACTCGGGCCTTCAATTGAAAACCCGAGTTGAAGACCCGAGTTTGTAGCAAAGATGTCAGACAAGATATGAATGTTTTTTTGGGCTCAAACGAAAGAGCGGGTCGAGAAATGGCGTGCTAGGACCTCTAAAGATGGTTTTGAACCAGGGGAGACTCCTAGACCCCAATGTTCTATACATACTCCTAGACCCCATTGTCCTCCTAGACAATGTTGTCACAACTCTGCTTTTCAATTGAAAACAGACATCATCTTTAGAGACATTTGTCATGTTTAGAGGCCCTAGCACGCCATTTCTCGACCCGCTCTTTCATTTGAGCCCAAAAAAACATTCATATCTTGTCTGACATCGCTGCTACAAACTCGGGTCTACAACTCGGGCCTTTTATTGAAGGCCCGAGTTGTAGGCCCGAGTTTGTAGCAGAGATGTCAGACAAGATATGAATGTTTTTTTGGGCTCAAACGAAAGAGCGGGTCGAAAAATGGTGTGCTAGGACCTCTAAAGATGGTTTGGAACCAGGGGAGACTCCTAGACGCCAATGTTCTATACATACTCCTAGACCCCATTGTCCTCCTAGACAATGTCACAACTCTGCTTTTCAATTGAAAACAGACATCATCTTCAGAGACATTTGTCATGTTTAGAGGTCCTAGCACACCATTTTTCGAGCCGCTCTTTCATTTGAGCCCAAAAAAACATTCATATCTTATCTGACATCGCTGCTACAAACTCGGGCCTACAACTCGGGCCTTCAATAAAAGGCCCGAGTTGAAGACCCGAGTTTGTAGCAGAGATGTCAGACAAGATATGAATGTGTTTTTGGGCTCAAACGAAAGAGCGGGTCGAAAAATGGTGTGCTAGGACCTCTAAAGATGGCTTGGAACCAGGGGAGACTCCTAGACGCCAATGTTCTATACATACTCCTAGACCCCATTTTCCTCCTAGACAATGTCACAACTCTGCTTTTCAATTGAAAACAGACATC